GAAATGCAAGAAATGCATTATTGCTCAGTCTGCAATATCTTTCCCAGAACAAACACCAATTGCAAATAACATACTAAAAATAAACCTGAAAATCAGTTTAAAACAGCATACTATGTTGCAAAGAGTGAACTACCACTGGAAAAATTTAGCAGTCTTTGCAAACTTCAAAAAAGCAAATGGCCTAGATCTTGGTTCCACTTGCCTCTTACCCGTGACTTCAGTGGAAATGTCAGATTCAGGATCTGACACAGACTGATTCATGTCCTACACAGTTCTTACAAGTTCATAGAAATTTCTGTTCAATTAGAACCAAGTATTTGAGTTGATGATTGTAATTTTTATACAATGTTGTAATTTGTTTTTCAACAATTTTTTGATTAATATTTTGTTTCCTTTACAACATTATACTTTAATGTATAATATTGTAAAGGAAACAAAACATCAATCAAAAAATTGTTCTCTGTTTTTTTTATTCGGGCTACTTAAGTTTATTTTGGGCTACCAAAAACTGAAGAGTCCCTGCCCGAAGGGCTACCAGGGATTTTGAAATTTTGCGAGCCCTGGGTAGTGCTTGTGAGAATGGGTGTGACTGGGTGAATGTGGCGTGTTGTATAGAGCGCTTTGAGTACTCCGGGAGAGTAGAAAAGCGCTATATAAGAATCAGTCCATTTACCATTCTCAATTATTGCATTTAAATCTCAATCCGAGGTTTATTTTTTTAAATGTTGGATATAATGAAAGAAATAAACTTAGCTGGGTAAAAAAATGACCTTTTTTCCATCAACAGGAAGAATGTTCCCTACAAAATTGTGCGTGCATCAAATGGTGATGCTTGGGTTGAGGCTCATGGCAAAATGTACTCCCCTAGCCAGGCAGGAGCCTTTGTTCTTATGAAGATGAAAGAGACTGCAGGTATAGTTGTGCAGACAGTCAAAAGATAATTTAAATGTTTTGCACATGTGAGCATTAGTTTTGCTTCATATTCATATGTTGTAGAGAGCTACCTGGGAAGCACGGTGAAGAATGCTGTGGTCACTGTTCCAGCCTACTTCAATGACTCTCAGAGACAGGTATGCACACACAGGCTTTCTATTGAAGGAAACGTTGCTAAACGTTTTCGCACGAGCACCAAAATATGAATGTTTAAAAGCTGATGTCAGGCCTCCACCAGGGTCTTTTAAGAAAAGCTCAGCTTTTGAGAAGTGAATTGTTTTCCTGCTGTGACACTGAGAAGATTCAGGGGTTACTAACTGTAGCAGACTGTATCATGTTTCCACTAGAGTGGAGCAACTTGCAATACCTTCAACTGCTTTAAAGACGATTACTTAAATCTATTTAAACCTCCAAAAACATGTTTAACTGATGCATACATAAAGTATAGTTTTAAATTCAGTTAGAATGTGATTTATAAATTGTATTGTCCCTATGATACTGATGTTTTATCCCCTCCACAGATTTGTATTATGCAGTATGCCTTCATTGTTTAACTGATGCTATTTTTGGACCATAAAAACAATTCAGACATCCAGACAGGAGAGCACCGAATCACTGTTAAGCCAATTCACACAGGATAGAATAATTTGGCCAAGTTCATGTTCAAATCACCAACCTGATTTATAATCAATATATATATTTTAAGGTATAGTGTAATTCATCATATACTTTCTTTTTATACTTTCTTTTTTTTCCAAACCCCCCCCCCCCCTTTTTTTTTTTTAAACTGCTCGAAGTTTTTGATAAGACTAATCTACCTCAGTCTCAGAGCAGTTAAGGTGATATGTAGATGTCAGATAATTAGCTTCTGTGTCCTTGTTGCTGCTTTGGAATGCACTTGATGATTGAAGTAACGATTCATCTTCGATACTTGTGTCAACTTGTTTCTTTGACAGGCCACCAAAGATGCTGGGCAGATCGCTGGTCTGAGCGTCCTGCGTGTAATTAACGAGCCAACTGCTGCTGCTCTGGCCTATGGCCTGGACAAGACCCAAGATAAGATGTGTGTAGATGAGAAAAAACCTTCTGATGTTTACTGCTATGCTTAGGAGTATCAGTACTTGCTAAGAAAGATGATAGATGATCCTGTACATAGAAGAATACAACTACTCGCTCTGTTGTTGTGTTAACCTGTATGAATGTGTTTCCAGTATTGCTGTGTATGATCTAGGTGGAGGTACGTTTGACATCTCAATCCTGGAGATCCAGAAGGGAGTTTTTGAGGTGAAGTCCACCAATGGTGACACCTTCCTTGGAGGAGAGGACTTTGATCAGCACCTCCTCAGACACATTGTCAAGGAGTTCAAGAGAGAGGTGGGTATTCTAACAGTCTTTAAGCCTTGATCTATTTGTGAAGTTTTGCGTTTTCAACCTGCGCTGTTTCTTTTCAGTCTGGTGTAGACCTGACGAAGGACAACATGGCTCTTCAGAGAGTCAGAGAGGCTGCGGAGAAGGCAAAGTGTGAGCTGTCCTCTTCACTGCAGGTACTCCTAGCTTTTATCCTCATGGGAAGCTAATGAATTTGTGTAGTTGTATAAAAAGGTGACACTGAATGGCTGATGTGTCACAGGTGCTTTAGGGTGTTTTGATTTTGGTTGTACTGCTTGTCATCACATGTCTCAGTGCATGTTGTGTGCCAGCTCTCAGTCAGCTGTCCAGATAATCTGTGTCTGGCTCAGTGTTACAGTGCTGGTAGATGAAACTCCTGTTTTTTGCTTCAGTGCAGCAGGTTCTGTTTTAGAATCTGCTGCTGCTGTGCAGCTACAGGACTTGGCCCAGTGAGAGTGGACTGTCCTGATTCTGACCGCAGGCCAGGCCTAGTACAGGGTCACACAAAATGAACCACAGTGCTGAGTTAAAAGCATTTTGTAACTGTTTAAATACTCAGTGATTGTCCTTCTGTTTTACAGACTGACATCAACCTCCCCTACCTGACTATGGATGCCTCCGGTCCTAAACATCTTAACATGAAGCTAACCCGTGCTCAGTTTGAAGGTATTGTTGCTGACCTTATCCGCCGCACCGTGTCTCCTTGCCAGAAGGCCATGCAGGATGCTGAAGTGTCCAAGGGAGACATCGGAGAGGTGCTGCTGGTGGGAGGCATGACACGCATGCCCAAGGTACACAAGACAGATGTTTAAAACCACCAAAGTGCATGAAATAACTCAGGGTGCACATACTTTATACTTGTGGGACTAGATGGAGTAAACGAGTAAGTTCTGCAGCTTCCATGGCAACGAATAGTTAACAGTAGACAAAGTGGTACACACCACAAATGTGTGGTCTGGTTTGGGGACATAATGACATTTACAGTGGCTTGCAAAAGTATTTGGCCCCTTGAACCTTTCCACATTTTGACACATTACAGCCTCAAACATCAATCAATTTTATTAGAATTCCACATAAAAGACCAACACAAAGTGGTGTACACGTGAGAAGTGGAACAAAAATCATACATGATTCCAAACATTTTTTTACAAATAAATAACTGAAAAGTGGGGTGTGCATAATTATTCAGCCCCCTGAGTCAATACTTTGTAGAACCACCTTTTGCTTCAATTACAGCTGCCAGTCTTTTAGGGTATGTCTCTACCAGCTTTGCACATCTACAGACTGAAATCCTTGCCCATTCTTCTTTGCAAAACAGCTCCAGCTCAACCAGATTAGATGGACAGCATTTGTGAACAGCAGTTTTCAGATCTTGCCACAGATTCTCGATTGGATTTAGATCTGGACTTTGACTGGGCCATTCTAACACATGGATATGTTTTGTTTTAAACCATTCCATTGTCCATTCCGGCTTTATGTTTAGGGTTGTTGTCCTGCTGGAAGGTGAACGTCCGCCCCAGTCTCAAGTCTTTTGCAGACTCCAAGAGGTTTTCTTCCAAGATTGCCCTGTATTTGGCTCCATCCATCTTCCCATCAACACTGACCAGCTTCCCTGTCCCTGCTGAAGAGAAGCACCCCCAGAGCATGATGCTGCCACCACCATATTTGACAGTGGGGATGGTGTGTTCAGAGTGATGTGCAGTGTTAGTTTTCCGCCACACATAGCGTTTTGCCAGAGCACCTTCTTCCACGTTTGCTGTGTCCCCCACATGGCTTGTCGCAAACTGCAAACGGGACTTCTTATCGTTTTCTGTTAACAATGGCTTTCTTCTTGCCACTCTTCCATAAAGGCCAACTTTGTGCAGTGCACGACTAATAGTTGTCCTATGGACAGATTCTCCTACCTGAGCTGTAGATCTCTGTAGCTCGTCCAGAGTCACCATGGGCCTCTTGGCTGCATTTCTGATCAGCGCTCTCCTTGTTCGGCCTGTGAGTTTAGGTGGACGGCCTTGTCTTGGTAGGTTTACAGTTGTGCCATACTCCTTTCATTTCTGAATGATCGCTTGAACAGTGCTCCATGGGATGTTCAAGGCTTGGGAAATGTTTTTGTAACCTAAGCCTGCTTTAAATTTCTTAATAACTTTATCCCTGACCTGTCTGGTGTGTTCTTTGGACTTCATGGTGTTGTTGCTCCCAATATTCTCTTAGACAACCTCTGAGGCCGTCACAGAGCAGCTGTATTTGTACTAGGGCTGCAACAAACGATTATTTTGATAGTCGACTAGTCACAGATTATTTTTGTGATTAGTCGACTAATCAGATCATGCATCCATTGGAGTAAAACGTACAGCTTATTGCACCAGCATGCATCTACTCTTATGTAACTATCATTAGCTTACAGTTTTAAGTGTTTAAGGTATGTGCTAACCAGTGTTGGGACTAACGCGTTATTAAGTAACGCGTTACAGTAACTACGTTATTATTGTGGTAACG